GAAGGGGTTCCGGGAAGACGCGATGAAAGTAACCTACCACCACATAGTGGAATGCCTGCTGATAGTTGGCCTTAAGTTCGTCATTGACCGGCCTTTGGTAATCTTGAACAGTTGAATGGCAGATTCAGTTCGGCCGAGTGAGACAGCTGAGCCAGTTGCAGTTGTGGTGGGTTTTGCCTGAATGGTCGAGTCGTTCGCATCGCTTTCCATATTGTAGATCTGGATTGCCAAGTCATAGATCATGTTGCGTAGGGCCGGTGTGTGAAGTCCAGTCATTGTACATGCATTGGCCGCATCGGTCGTTTGAGACAATAATGATATGGTCTTCAAGCTTACGCCGAAGGCCGTGTCTAGGATGAAATTGTGGGCCTTGAGCATGGAATCTTCTTTGTCTGGCATTCGGATCGTTTTGGGCGAGACGTCCTGGACTCTGCTGCTTCTGCAAGACAAGCCCTGGTTTTCGTTTCGTGGGCCTCTTGCGTTTCTCTGCGCCGTTTTGGCCACGACGTCGTAGCAGCGGAACATCTGATAAAGGGCGTTGGCGAGAGGATGTACCGTCCAGAAGCCGTCACCATCATCCATGTACACGACCCGTCGTGCCAGACCGAGATGTATGTTGCTGTCAGAGTCTTGTGGGCCAAATATGTCAATGGAGATGAGTCTCAAGGCTGCAGCCAGAAGTGTGGGCCGGGCTTGGAATAACTCAGACCCCTGTGCGCTGTCAACGATTTGTGTCAACAGCAGCGACGCCTCTTTGGCGTGGTGCAGAGCCTTCGCGACATCCTGCGATATCTTGTTCCCATTTCGATGAGCACGCTGATTTGCCGCGACTGATAACACTGCGTGCCGGAGGGCAAGCTGACTGGGAGAGAGAGATCCCCTAAAAGCCAAGGGAAGATAGATTTAAAGCCATGGATTCCTTGAGGGGTCAACGACGGGCATCATCAGGCTTGATGTCGTCGTTTGATAGAAATTCAGGAGGTCGCCGTCCCCCAGATCAGGGAGCAAATCAACCTCGCCTCCGTCCGCATATATTGGGCTCAGCAATGCTCCAATGTACGAGCCGAACGACGCATCGTCGTGTAACAGAGTCGCATGGCAGTTGTCGTAGGGTTGGTCGTCATGACTCTGTACCGAAGACTCAGGAAGGGGTGTTTCAAATGATGAGTTCAACGGGGGATGCATATCCACAGTCTGCAGCCCCACAGATGGTCCCGGCGTCGTGTGACGCATTGTGCGGGCGGCGGTCGTGGAATGGTTGTCAATGAAGCCACGGCAACTATATAACCGAGACCTCTCGCAGTTGAGGCAAACCGGTCGCCGGTTGTCACACTGCGAACCGGTTGATGAGCATGTCACTGAACAGTCGGGGCCAAGTCCTTACTTACTTTGATCTTCCGCTGGCGACAGGTCAAGCAGCCCTAGCCGGACGGTGTCAGCGCTTCGACGAAAATGCGTGTAGGAGCATCTTGGCGGTATGTACTCGAAAAGCTCTTCTACGGTGTTTCCTTGCGTTCCTCTGGTCAGCCGTCGCAGCGTCCAGTCCATTATTGGATTCGAAGAAAGGAGGCAGGTCGATCAAGTCAAAAGGCCAAGGGTCTGACACGAGATCGTCAGACATGATGCCGTTGCGTACGCATGGAAGGTTGCTTCGTTGTAATTGAATCGCGCGGGCTGCTCGTGGAATTCACGTTGCCAAGTGTGGCTGCTTGCCTGACCTCGGTGACGACCTCTGAGATCAGGGCCCATCGCTGTTGTTGAAGGGGAAGAGAGTGGGAATTCCCGAGTGTCATGGTACTCCAGCCCATTGCGCTGTCAGGGCATTTACTGGATAAATATTCGGCCCAGCTGTCCTGACACTAAGGTTCCTTAGAGCAGGGCGTTGTTCACACCTACTGGTTTTAAAGTATCGGTACATGCGCCTGTTTCCTAGGCTGCAGGCGCTACAGGTCCCAGCTTATAGCGACTTTCAGATAGTGCTTCGCTGTCTGAATGTTGCAACATGAGCAATTTGCTACCTGGGTCTGGCAAACATGCGGATTAATCAGTGGGTTGGCGTTGGGTCTTGTCAATGCACGGGAATGAGGTGGTGGCTCCTGAGCCTGGCCATGTTGAGGTGCCGACGCTGTGTAAGTACCCATGAACAGGGACTTGCCTAGGCACCTAGGTAGGCAAGGTGCATGTAGACACTAAAGCAAGGCAATCCTGTATTGTTCCCGGGTCGGGACAACCTAGACGGGGGACGGCCTCTGGTGGGTCACGGCCCTCCCGCAAAGGCGGCTACAATAGCGGCGGCGCGGTACCTACAAACTCGCACGTCAGCCTGCTAACACGGCATCACAGTCGCTTGGAACAACGCATACTAGATGCATCCGTTCATTCGTTGGCAATCGAGTCAAGGTCTATGGCTGTTCACATTACATCTATCCCATTGCCACACTTCATTCGAGCGCAATTTCATCTTCAATTTTCTCCTCTCCCAGAGGGCCACGAGCTTGAACGTACATCACTCGCGCAGCGTCTCCGTTCTCTGCGGCCATGAACATGACGCCTGCTGGGCAACAAGACGCAGCGAATCACATGGGTTCCGTTGCCAAAACGTCGGTGCCGCTGCTCCGAGGCGGCTCGTCAGCAGCAGCAGCAGCCCCATCCTGAACTGTGGCATTGCTAGGCCTCAAGGTCAGATATGGGAGGATAGTGATGTCGCTGGATGATATTTACTATTGTGGCTGGGGTCCGGGGGCGAAGACGAGTCGCAACAATTCGACATCGTTGTCTTGAAGTTCTGGGTGGGTGAAACCGTTGTATCAGTGAATTTGGTGGAAAGAAATGGTGATTGAGAGTAGACGAATGAGAGCACCCGAGGCACGAGCGGTGTCGTTGAGCCCACGGATGCGGGCCTGGGCGCCAATGACGAAGGATACAGACGTTGTTGAGTTCTTACGGTCAACGGCGTTCATCGGCTGCTTCTCCTCGTCAAAGTCAGAGTTGTTCAGCCCAAGCTTGTCGTGAATAGGAATATGGTCGACCCAGGCGACAGAGAAAGGGTGGCACTCCCAAGGAGAAACCTTAGCGAAGTGAGGAGTGGTTTGATGTGCCGCGCTGGGCGTGGTGTTGCTGGGCGAGGAGGTAGTGCGGCGTTGTGCCTATTGGTTCTCTTCTGGCAGCCAGAAGGTGTTCAGCAGCTCGGTGTAGCAGAGGTATAAGTGCTGGTGTAAGAATGAGATCTCTTCAGGCAAGTGACCGGGGGCGGCAAGTCAATTAAATGATATCGAAGGACTCACTAAAATATATATCTAGTCGTATTGTCTCATGAGGGAAGCTTTGGCTTGCACCTTCGTCATGGAGAGTCGTGACTTCCAACCGCCTGGGGGCCTGACCCTCGAGCGGCTCACGCCCCGTCCATCATTGCATTGCGATGATTGCGACGGCCTTCACAGCCTGCATCAATCTGGCGGCAGGTCCCTCGACCGCAATCCCAGAACATCCCATGAAACCGCCATACCGAAGCATCTAAGCCACTTGGTTCTGTTCCCAGTGATCTGATTCGCCGTCTCTGCAAACACCTCACCGGGTCCAGTGGGCCGATTCGTCGCAATGCCACTGAACAGAGCCTGTCTTCCCATCTCTTACAGGCCATCGCAATCATCGCAATGCAGTGCGACTCCAGCCTTCAGTAGGCGCCCTCAGGGACTCAACCTTCACACTTATCGCAATTGACGCAATCGTCGCAATTGTCGCAGCTGTCGCAATCGTCGCAATTATTGCGATCGGCGCCATTATGGTCGTTTGGAGACGCACATGTAAGCCGGGAGGTCAGCCAACGCCACCCAGCAGGCCACGCATTGAACTACAGGGTGAGAGTCTACCTTCTCGGACTCGCATGTGCCCGATGCAACATTTGGATGTCTCCCACCAGGGCTCCCCGCTACATGGTGTCTTGCTATTGCTGGCCTTGGCACGTCCATCATTCGTGGCGAGTCCTCCTTGGCTACCCCTTGTCAGCTGTCGCAATCCCGCGCAATGATAAAAGGGGGCAGCCCGTCCATGTGCATCATCATGTCTCCCGTTGCGATGCAAAACATTGCGACAAGACGAACCTCAGATCCTTGTCTTTGCTCACATCATTTTGGTAATTGGACCGCCTCCAGATACCTACTTGCCTTCAGGCGCGCCATCGCCTGCCGCATCGGGTCGCTCCGATTTCTTGTCATGGAGCTCGAGACTCAGCCTGGCGCGCGCCCACACAAGAAGAGGAGAGCCACGCGGGGGTCCTACTCGTACCAAAAATGCCACTTTTGTCGCAGGGACAAGCAAAAGGTGTACACTCGCCCGCTTGATCATGAAACCCCCCGAGATGTGGTCCGTAGTGCCACGGCATATGGTTGCTAACTATGACAAAGTGCGAACCTCCCACACGCCGTTGGCCTGAGCAATGTACTCGATGCCAAATCAAAGGCTTTGAATGCACGGAAAATCAGCAGACTGAGAACCGAACCAGACGCGGCACCGCAAACAATGTGCCGCTGGTCCAACAGCAGTCGCCGGTTGTACCAGCCCATGACGGCGAGCCGTCTGCTCTCACGGCCAAGGGCTTGAACCTGTAAGGATAGCTTCCCTGCAACTCAGCATATATATTTAGCTAAAGCCACTAGTGATGGTACAGATGAAATTTTTTTAGCGCTCAGGATATTCGACTTCTGGGTTCAATTCTTCGTAGATACTGATTGTGCATTTACACCCTCCCGCTTTGAAAGGCCACAACGTATTACAATTAAATGTCTGAACGACAAGGTCAAAGACTTGATACCCAGATCGAGGGAGGAAGCGGTGCGTGAAAATGACACCGAATTGTTTGTACGCTTACATACTGTGACTCTTTGGGACGGTAGAATCGAGGATGATATGTCAACTCTCCTGGACATACTTCGTGAAAAGATTGAAAGCGACCCATTGGAGCCTTTTGTTAAGGACGCCATCGAGTCACTACGAAAAAGGCACTGGTACCACTATGCTATTCAACTTCAGAAGGACTTGGTGAGAAAGTTGGCGTTCCAGTTCGGCACCGAGTCAAAAGAGTTGACTGGAGCTGTCTCAAAATATGCCGATCTCATACGGCAAGTCACAGACTTGTCTAGCCGGGTCTTCGACAGACACATCAGGAACGACGGTAGTAGGGGCAGTGATGACATGGAATTGATCCGTGCAACCCTCCGGAAGCCGCCGTTTGTGCACGGTTGTCTGTTTCTTTGCGGACCCGGATCACCTACAGCGCCCCAGACGCTACTTCAAATCGTATCAACCTTGGACTCGAAAGACTTCCTCATCGGCCCAGACATTCTGGGTTCGACACTCTTACATTATGCCTGCGGCTCCTACAATTCGGATGCAGTGGAGACACTCATTTCGCTGAAAGTACCAGTCAATGCGAAAGACTGCGATGGGAGAACGGCTCTGCACTATGTGGTCGGTGAAGAAGAACTCGAGCACCATTGCCGGCGACGGCATGACTTATTTTCGAAGGAGGAGAGTCAACTGGCTCAAAGAAAATGCCTTGCAGCGCTATTGAAAGCGAGGGACCTCGACATGGGCATTGTGGACAACTATGGGTGGACGGCCCTGAGGTATGCGTCTTGGGCCGAGGATCCACAACTCTTTTACCAAATCGACTCCTCTCCACAAGGAGTATTGGAAAATCAGATGAACGCTGCAGAGCTGAAAATGAGAGAGGACTTTTACGCGAAGTTCCCGTCCTCCCACGCATGAGCTGGCAAAGTCGACCGCGACAACCACGCAAAGAGCGAAGAGACAGAGCCCCAAGACACTCACAACTTCGACTGCCTCCCAGACCCCCCCCTCTGCCCATCCGCCACATCCCCCTTCTCGCCCTGCTTCCGCCCATCCTCCACCTCCAAGCTGATCGGATCCCCCAGCTGGCTCGGGTTCCCCGCCCTGCCGTCGAGCTTCTCCGCCGCCAGCGCCTTCAGCCGCCGCGGCCGCCCGCCCGTCACCGCCGACCCGTCCGAGTTCTCGCCGCCCGTCGGCACCTTGCCCTTCTTCCCGGGGCGCCCGGCATCCTCCTTGCTCTGCGACCCGGCCCCGGCGTTCGTCGACGGGGGGTTGGCGTCGGCGGCCGTGGCCCCTTCGGCGGGCGTGCGGCCGGCGCCCGACGTGGAGGAGCCGCGGTCTCTGATTTCCTGTTCGGCCGATTTGGCGTGTGCGCTGTTCTTGCTTGGCTTTTCATTTGTTAGTCTGGTTTTTTTTTTTCCGGGTTCTGATTTTTGGGGGGTACGATGATGTCTGCGATTGGGATGATGGGCAGGTGTCTGTGCGGGCAACGACTTACTGGCGCCATGATAACGACGATTTCTTCTCTCTTCTTGTTGGTTTGATTTGGTATCGGTTTCGCAATGGATTTCACGAATTGGCAGTAAAAATAAAAATCAGATTGGAAACAATTGCGTTGGGCGACGGGTTGATATGTGACGCTCAATCCGGGGACGAGTGTCCGTCATCCAGACAGGCCATGACGTGCATGACTTCCCCCACGGTCGATGACGAACGTGGGCAACCCCCAGATCGGCTTTGCGCACGCAACATGTGAAATCCGATGACAGGGCCAGTCAAACTAGCGTAATCGATGCATTCGTCTTTTCTAGTGTATCAACTCTATCAATGCCGCATGATGATCTGCGCTTCATGCCGATGCTGGCCTGCGATCCATGCCGAGGTATCTAGTTCTACAGTAAATCAATCAAACAAATCAATCCTCCAAACTCCACTCTGGTATCATGCGCTGTGCTCTATGTTTTCGTTGCTCGCTTCTCGTCCCTGCGGCTGATCTCTTCCACGACAGCTCACGCTGACGCGGAGACGGTCCTGCCGACAACAGGCGGCTCAATCTCAGCCTCAATCTGCGGCGCCGAGGCCTCGAGATCAGCGACCTGCGCGCTGACGCCCTCGCCCGCCTGCGCATCCGCCTTCTTCTCGTCGCCCTTGCCAATCGTCTCGACCCAGTGCCAGCAGTCGACGATCTTG